TTTTCGATATAGGTCCTGGAGAACTAACCAGGCAGCTCCAAGAGCTGTGTGCTGGGAAGGACTTGTGGCTCCTTAGGGGCAGGGCTCAAATTTCCCCCTAGGATGCTTTCCTATGTGAGGTACCACTCAACCACAGAGAGATGGCAAGACTAGGAGATGAGTCTTCCTCAAAAGATATGATAAAATGTTAAAATTTATCACAGGATATGGACTGTGGAATTGCTTTCTTTTCTAACTTGTCTTTTGTTATTATGTTATTTATATAATAAATTTATAATAAAACTGAAGGCATAATGCGGACCATTTTGGCAGTCACCTGGCAGCGTCTCATGTAGATCATGTCCTCACAAGAATGAAATGGTTGTAAGTGTGCATGTCTGTAGGTATGTAGCTTTCTTTTTTCACCGGTGTCCTTTGTTGCTCTAGATGCCGACTTTACATCTCTGGGAATATTTGACTGTCCAGTTTTAAGACTGACGAACAAGCACAGTTTCAAGCCAGACAGGGTCTCATTGAGGGTGAAGTGGACATAAGCTCCCACCCCAACCGAGCTGCAGTCTGCAGTTGACACCTACTTGCAAAGGAGAAATTAGTATTAACCATACTTAAGTATAATGTCCAGCAATAGGTGGCCAACATAAAATGAACTCAATGGCATTGTGTTGACTTTTTGTCTCATTTTCTTTATCCCACCTTTTTTTTTTTTTTTTTTTAATCTAGTGGTGTATTGCTTGTTTATTATGGTTTCTGTTTTTATGTTAGTGTATGTGTGTTCTTCTTAAGCTTTCTATTTTTTTTTTTTAAATCTGTTTTGCCTGCTTTTTTACCTGTTTCTTTTCTAAAAAGAAGGAAGGACTAGAACTGGGTGGGTGAGGAGCATCTGGGAGAAGTTGGGGGAAGGGAAACCATGATCAGAAAATACTGTATGAGGGCCAGGCTGTGGCGATGCATATCATCAGGCAGGGGTCTCTGAGTTCAAGGCCAGCCTGGTCCATAGAGCCAGTTCCAGGACAGGAACAATGGGAGAGAGGAAAGGGAGGGAGAGAGAGAGAGAGAGGTGAGGCAGGGAAGGAAAAGGAGAGACAGGCAGAGCAGAGAGAGAGAGAAAGATGGGAGGTGGGCAGGGTTCTTTTAAAAGGGAACACAGTGAATAGACATAGGTGATGCTCTTAGTGACTACAGTTGAGGGCATAACCTGTGAGAGCCCCAATGACAGACAGTACAGATAGATAAATACTAACAGCCAGGGCTATTACACAGAGAAACTCTATCTCAAAAAACAAGAAAAGAAAATATTGTATGAAAAAACTTACTTTCAATTAAAAACAAAAAGACTGAGAAGTGACAGAACCAATAGTTGAGTCAGGCACCTTGATCATGATCTCCTTTGTAGTATAATCTATCTGAGACTTGTCTTTTGGGGTCTTGAGACTCTTCTGGAAGGACTCCTTTACTTAGAAATTGAGTCATGGTGCCTCTATTTCCACTCTACTTCTTAGTGAAGTTCAGAAGTTCTGTAAAGCAGATCAGGGACTATAAAACTTATGTCTCATTTCACCTAGGAATTTCACTATTAAGGCATTTCTGTTGGTATCATAAGGATATTTGTTATTTTTATCCAAGAATTAATAGACAGCGAGCCTCCAAATAGTTTGCTTAAACTATTTGTACTTTTCAAGACACATAGAGCCAGACATCATGATTCAGCCTGTGACTCTCAGCACTTGGTTGGCAAAGGCAGGAATGTCATGAGTTCAGGACTATCTGAGCAACATAGTTTCGTCAGTTGTTTTTATTTCCTGATTGCCCCAAAAGACCATCTGATAAGACCAGAAACACAAAGGGAACACATAGCCTGGAGCAGCAGTGTTTAACTTAAGATGTGCATCAGGGGTTATTCACTTTTACATTCATTCCCAAGCCTGGCCTGTGTCCCCATAAGAGACAACTATAGGAAACAGCTGGTTTAATGCTCCTGGTCCCACCCACCTCCAGGGTATGATTTGGCTCACAACAACCTACCTGTGCATTGTAAGATGGCATCCACTGAGATGTCAGCCAAGACAAGGAGGTTCTTGTTGTTTGGAAGAATGCAAGTCCTGACATTGAGTTTCTTCTCAGCCAGAGTAGCTTCTAGTTGGCCCAGCCCCATTTGGTTTGAACAGAGGGTCTGCTGCAGTGGCATTCATTTTCCTTTATTCTCCTGTCACTCAAGAGTAAACCCAAAGCTTGTATAGTAGACAAGCATCCTGTCTCTGAACTGCACTTCCAGAACTCCACAGCCATTCTTACACTTTGAACATATCAGGCTCTCCTGAGACATTTACAAGGAAAACCCAGATTCCATAATTTTGGTTCCTTAGATAGGGGTGGGTCACTGAAAATCAGTTTCTTGGGAAGAGTGATGGTCTGTTAACTTTAGTTAGCTTCTGAGAGCCTGGTAAAGAGGTTCACAAATACTGTGTTTTCAACAGAAGGCCAGGGCCTCCATGCTGCAGAAGGCCTATCGTTGGCCTTCTACCAAAGCTCCTGGGCATGATTAAGCCTTCCAGTGGATTTGTGCATATACAGCCCTTTCGAAATCATACTCAGTACCCCAAAATTCCCTGTCCAAGTGCCCACTTACAGTCCCTGTGTAGGCCTTCCTCATCATAACCCAGTGCCCATTTCTTAGTGCAAGAGATAGGTAAGGAGCAGCTTCAATCTTACAACATTGTCTCTTACCTTTGTTTCTTTATGGTTTGGTATGTCAGCAGTTCTCAAAGAGGCATTAGGCATCAGCTTTGATGTTAAGAAACTGAATACTCAGCCCATTGTTAATTTTCTGTAGTTACATCATCTGATACAGAGCTCTACAACATACGTTTTGTTAGGGCAAAGGAAAACCACAGCTTTCCAAACAACTGAGAAGTTGTGGTTCTTCTGCCACGCCCCTCCTCTGTAACAGCCAGGAAAGACGGAAGACACGTGTTCCATAATATTTCCTCAGAGGGATCTGGGGAAAAAAAGAGAAAGGAAGAGATTAACTGACTGAACCCAAAACTCAGAGCTATAAATCATGTGTTGCAATATAGAGATGGGATGTTGCATCAGAGCATGGCGGTTGTAATGGAGCTCTGGGCAGCACACCCTGAGAAGTTGTGGTGTTCTGTGCCTTTTTGCTGAAGATTTGGTGCTGAGTTTAAGTTCCCTCTGTTGTGCCAAGGGGCAACATGTTACTTCAGTTTCCTGGTCCCTCTGTATACTTTTTCTTCTCTTGCTGTAAGATGGGGGTGTTTCTTTATAGCTGAAAGAATAGCTGGGCCAGATAATTCCTGTACCCAGCCCAGTGTCCCTTCTTCTGTTGTTACATGCAAACAGGGAATTTCTTCCTGGAAGTCTCATCAGGAGAGCCAGGAGGCAGCATGGCAAGGCTGCGATGGCTTTTTTTCTAAGAGCCGTTAGTTTTGAAAGTGTTTTAACACTTCCTGCCTATTTCACATTGCCTTTCTCAAGATTTGAAAGATAGTGACTAGGAGTTTGTTGAGAACAAGGATAAATGTTGGTAGAAGTGATGAAGGTAGGAACGTGAAGTGTATCTTAGCATGCCCTTTAATCCTCAAGATATTTGGTGGCTATTTCATTGTTTTTGTTCTTCTGCTTTGTTTGTTTGTTTGTTTGTTTTTCAAGACAGAGTTTCTCTGTGTAGCTTTGTAGACCAGGCTGGCCTTGAATTCACAGAGAACCACCACCTGGCTTTGCTTTTTTTTATTTTTTTGTTAAAAAAAATTTTTTTTTTAAATAGGGAAAAAAAGACAGTATGCAGGACAGATGAAAGAATGTCAAAATTAACATTATATTTGCAGCATAAATTCTCAAGGGCAAGATTAGTATCCAAATATATAGTAAGGGTGTTTGTGCCCATGGTTGTGCTAAGTGTGGGCTTTGATGGAATTTAAGCAAAGAAGCAGCTAACCTCTGCTTTGGGGGAATGTAGTGTAGAGTTAGAAGAGCTAACAGTTTCCCAACACTGAACTCAAGATGGCTTTTTACCTTTTCTTTTTTACCTGAAAATCTCTATGGAGAGAACAGAAGTCTGGTTGCTAAAGAAGAAAGGGGAAAAAACTACATCCTTGAGAGTCCAGTCCCGCCCTGCTTCCTGAAGTGCAGCAGAGAGAAGCAGAAATGATACACACAGTGGCCATTTGTGCCCCAGATTTGACTTGAGTGTCAGTGTGTGTCAGCCTTTGTAATTAGAGACAGTCTCATATATTGCAGGCGGGCCTCAAATTTATTATGTAGTTGAGAATAACATTAAAACTCCAGATCCTCCTGCCTCCACTGCCCAGTGCTACGATTACCAGGTGCATGCACCACCAAGCCTGGCTTATGTGGTATGGGGGTAGAACACACAGCTTTGTGTGTGCTGGGGAAGCTCTCAGCCAACTGAGCTATATCACCCAAATCACCCACGATCCCAAAATTTAATGATTTCTGAATCATTTTTATAATTTCGGAATTATGGTAAAATGCTTTCAAGAGAGTGTGTGTAATAGTGATGGGTGTTATCTTTGAGTTTGTACCTTCTAGAAATACAGCCGATAGGCTGGCAAACTGATACGCCACCTGTGATTCACCTCAGAGTAAACCAGGGACGGAACAGTATGTTTTATAATGCAGCCAGACCGTCTGTGCTGTGTGTGGAAATCAGGTGATATATAAATGGAGTTCATATTATCTTTAGTACAGTAAAGTTTTAGTTGAAATTGAAACTCTGCTATACCTGTGAAACCTTAGCAGGTTCCTCTCAAGTTTCCATTTCTTAATCTGTAGGGTGAGAACAATAAAAATCTAGTACATAGATTTTTTTTTTCTAGTACAGTTAGTTAAAATGAGTTATGTTCCATTGGAATGGATTCAAAATCATTATGTCGGTAAGTAAAAAGATCAAGACATCATCTTCCTTGAATACAAATTATACTCTTTTTTATATCTAATAATCTGGATTTTGTTTTCAATAGCTCAGGTGCCTAAAAGGCCAGAGGAACTTCTCCAGCCAGCCACCTTTTGATGGAATCCACATCGTCAGCCATTTGATAGGAGATGATGACTCGTTCCACTCATCAGATGAAGATTTTATAGATAGTTCCTTACAGGAAAGTGGCCTTGCTTTTCCTTTGCACAGAAAACCTGGCTCTACATCTCTGAATCCTGCGTTGGCAGATGGTAGTGAGAGTGAAACAGAAGATGGCTTACTAGTAACTCAAAGGAGTGGGGCTCCAAAGGAACAGCCCCCACAAAGAGAGCCCTATTCAACTACTGTCTGACCAACTGCCAGTCACTGTGACAGCCTGGAGGGCCTTAGGGCAGCAGTCACATGAAGAGAGTTTGGGGGCCATCCCTCTGTCCTGTGTACATATATGTCTGATTTTTATAGCCTCATATGACTGTCTTTGCCAAATGTTTGTTGAATTTCCATTGCCATGGTAGACTGGAATATGCTAATTGGTAAATGGGGTTCTAACAGTATTACAAAATATTAATTTTTCTTATTTAGAAAATACTACTATGTCTAAATGTAAGAACCATTTTAAAATTCAGGACTATGGGAAATTGGATTTTCTTTAAACAAAACTGCTCTTGTGCAATATTTTATCCTCATTGAACAAACTGTACATTTGTGTTTATCAATTTGTTTCCAAGGTGGCTGCTGTCTCTAGACATTTGACCAAAACATAGAGGTGATTTAACTTGTGTTTTGAGGATAATTTTTTCTTCCCTAAAATTTCAGCAGGTCATTGAAGATTGTCAAACACAAACAACTTTTTTTTCTGTATAATTTCTAAATTATTGTCTGCTCTGAAAGGTTTTTTGTTTCAGTTTTTAAATTTTATGTGTATCATACTTGTGTGTGTTAGTCAGAATAGTAGCAGGTTAACTGCAGATGTATTTTCTGTACATACTTATAAATCTCTGTCACCCAGCATTGACATCCTCTTACATGAGGAACATTGACAGTGACTGCTTTCAGCATTCCAACAGGACTTCTGTAAATAGCAGGTTAAAAGAAAACTAAACTCAGACCAGACACTACTGTTGTAGCTGCTGTAGTAACCTTTACTCAGCACTCCACACTTGCAGTCTCATGACCGATCTCTGTTCAGACACTACTGGCAAAGCCCTTTATTCCATCTGTGACCAATGAGCTTATGAGCTTCACGATTAAAGAGAGGACAACACATGTTATTTCATGCTAATCTATTTAATACGATTTAGCACTAGGTAAGTTCCGAGATGCATAGCAAATATATATGGGGGGGGGGGGAATCTGAGAATTGTGTTTAAATTCTCTAGTTTCTAACTGACAGATAAAGCCATAAGAGCCCTTTCTTCTTAGTTGTTGCTTTGTATTTATACTTTTTCTCTAGAAAACTGAATGCTTGTTATTTGTAAGTTGAGAAACAATGCTTGCCCGTGGAAAGGTTGCCAGCCTGTGATGACTGGATGTTTTCCATGTCATTTTTTGTTAGTAGCCTGAGCCATAGAGGAAGATAAAATGTAGTATGTGTGGAAATACATTTTTGTACAGAATATTGCATAAAGAAAAATATTTAACAAAATGGAGAAGAAACAAAAGTAGTTTTCTTTCTAAAATTATGTAACACCTTATGCTGCATTGTGAGCTAGGCTTTCCCAGCAAGGGTGGCCTAGCTTGGAAACATGCCTTCTGCATCCGGAGCACCCACTAAGTTTATCTATAATTACAAGCTAGTTACTTAGCAGGTTATTAATTCAGATCTCTCTCTAGACTTCTAAAGGTCTATCTGAGTTTTTCAGCTCCCTGCTCTCTGGCAATGTTACTTAAATAATTTTCATTTAAATCAGTTTTCTAAGTATCTCCTTTAGATGAGTGTTCTTTAGCATTTGCAGTCAAGTCTCAATAAGAGTCGATGACAGCACTGCCAGAGACTAGTCCAAAGGTTCTCCATTGTGGTCCAGTACTGTTGTCCAAGAGGCTGTCAGTAGCCCAGTGAAGGAAGAGGGCTTGTAGCCCTGTTTTGTTCTTTGTGTGTGTGTGTGTGTGTGTGTGTGTGTGTGTGTGTGTGGTTTTTGTGTGTGTGGGTGGGTGGGTGGGTGTGTGTGTTTAACCTAGACCCTCTTCATCAAGAAACCTCAGTGGGGCTAGAAGGATAGCAAGACCCTGTGTTCAGTCCCAAGCACCACCAAAAGACAGGCAAGCCCAGAGAATTTCCTAGGATGTCTTCTGGTTTGGAACTAGGTGTAAAAGAACCCTGGTCATTAAATCTCAATTCATTGATGCTCTTCTGATTTGTATAGTAGAAAATTAGAAGCAACATCCATTCAAGGTCTGTGAGTCAAGCCAGATGCAGTGGTGCATACCTACAGTTCCAGCTACTTGGGAAGCTTGAGGCAGGAAGGTCACTTGAAAAGGGCACCAGCTTGGGTAACATAGTAACATTTTGTCTTAAATTTTTTATTTTTTTAATTCATGTACACCTTAGACATAAATCTTTGTATGTGCTAGGGTTCAGTAGGATACTGTGCCCTGAACTGGCTCCATTTCATTAAAATTGATATAAACATACTGTTGAAGACCTTGAAGCGTTGGATGTGTCCTACTGATGAATTTTATTTCATTGAGGAGTTGAAGGATGTTTTGTGGGAGTAAACATGAGATGACATTACAGAAAACGTTGCAGTCTTGGGATAGCAACCTTTCTGGTACCCTTGCCACTCCAGGTGACATAGAAAGACTAGTCTGCAAGCCTAGACAATAGGATCAAGAAGCACTTCAACAGAATCCCCCCCCCCCTTACTGGGGATAGAACCCAGGGTTTTACATACGGTGGGCAAGCTCTCTACCCCTGAGCCACCCCTAAGTCTGACTTATCAAAATCAAAATCAGTGCATACATTTTTTTATGGAAAAATGAGGCCAAAGAGAATGTTTTGTACGACTTCTACTTTGATTCTTGTTGTTTGGATTTTTTTGTTTTGGTTTGTTTTTATATTGTTTGGCCAATTGGCTGATACTCAGCATTTGCCCATTGATTGAAACATCATATCCCAGCTATCTGGCCGTTTATGTTGGAAAAAAGCCTTTCCCAGCCATTAGCACAGTGCAGCTTGTTCATTTCCAGCCAGTGCCTTTGATTGAAAATAACGTCTGCTGCTATTGAAGTATGTTACTCCTGGCATCATAAGAAGTCATTTGGTTCCTCATCTACCATTTGCATAATGCACTATAATATTAAAGTTTTTAAAAATTAAGGATATCAATTATGTTTTTGTAAGCTTTTCATGGCTAGCGTGGTTATTGGACATTGGTGGCCAACATTTGTAGAATCAATAATTTCCTTACTAAAGCAATGAGTTTTTAGCCTGAAAGTTTATTAATTAATTTAAAAGTTTATAAATTAATTTAAAATTAATTTCTTTTTAATTCTAAGGTTAGTCAAAATTTGTGATTGAAAGTAGGGTAGATGCTATTTAAAATCCAAATTTTTACATTACTTCCATGGATCTGTATACCTCTTCACTTCAGAGAAGAGAAAACACAGAGATACATTGGACATGCAAAGTTATAAATTTCATTGTATTTCATTGTACCGTTGTTTTTTTTATTGTAACACTGTATGATAACCTAAAATGTTTACTTGTGCCTTTGCTTTAAATAATTAAAGTTTCTTGTTTTACAAGACTTTAATTCCTTAAATTATTCATTTTAAGAGGGGAAGGGAGGGTCAAAGAACTATTGAAGAACATTTGGCCACAGAGAAGATTGGTGCTGCTGAGGTCTCTGTCCCACAGTGGGGTTGTCATATCCATCTGCTCTACATACAGAGTGCCAAGAAGTCTGGGTGAGTTTGACGTCTAGTAGATATTTTCAGTTTCATAGACAGCCAGATGTCTAGACTTGTTTCCTTCCTGAACATGGTGTTTGTTTTAATTATTAGTGGCAGTTATTTTCATCACAAATGTAATTTAGGTTATTGAAAACATCACCAATGGATTTAGTAATACATTCAAATATGTGGTTTTAAATATCACACAGAATGTGTTTCGTGACCACTGCAGTGTTAATGTGTGTCAGTTTCATTAATTCAGAAGCAGCAATGTGCTATTGTGGCACTTTAATGAAGATACGTGAAGTTTACAAGAGTTACAATCCATGGTTCTCTACCTAGGAACTGTTAGCATTTAGATTGTGATCCTTGTTGCAGGACACCCTGCATACTGTAAGATGTTTGCAGTATCCGCAGCCTCAACCCACTAGATGCCAGTATCACCCACACCTGCAGTTGAGGCAGGTCATCCCCAGGTGTGTGGAGTGGAGGGCACCCTGAGTGAAGTCCCCAGTGAAAAGGAGCTGTTGGCAAGACACAACCTTGTCAAGGACCCCAACTTCAGACCACAAGAGAAAGGTCAAGCTCCTTCCTGCGTGGTATGAGGTTCAGGGAAGAGGCAAAAATCTTCCTCCAGACCCAAGTGTGGGTGCAGATACTGTATACGGAAAATGCCCACCCTAGTCCCCCTCTCCTACCCTAGTTGTTTGTGGCCTCAATGGCTTCTCCACAGAGACTGTTCTAAAGCTTTTCTCTTGATTCATTTGTATGTCCTTCATCTGTATGTAACAGCCCGCCTCTCTGTTCAACTGTATGTGATAAACATGCTGAGCTGCCAGGCCCCTGAGGGTTGTCCATCAAAGAGCCCAGTCCACTTGGCCCCAGCTTTTCTGTGTTGTCTTTTTCTTCATTTCCTCAGCACCTAGTCAGGGCTGTCCCTAAAGCCATATAAAGGATGTGGCTTTCCGACATTGTCACAAAGGACAGAGAATGAAAGTCACTATGGTCAAGAAATACTTAGAGATTTAGATGCCTATGAAGAAACTCAACAAGAGTCCCTCATAAGAGCATGTATACCCCTTTGAAGACACAGGGAGAAATGGAATCTGTTTCTAGTAGTGAAAAAGAAAATGTGAACCACAGTAGTACAATTTCACATCTGTTAGGATGGCTATCCAAAAAGAAAAAGAGCTAGGCATGGAGGCATGTACCAATCCCTGTTCTCAGGGTTCTGAAGCAAGGTGCAGCCCAGAAATTTGAGGCAAATCCCATCTTGAAAAAAGAAAAGGAAAATAACTAAAAGGTTAGCAGTGGTGTGGAAAAATTGGAGTCTGAGTCTATACTGGAACCACTATGAAGAACAGTTAAGTACTTTTGGAAAGAGTTAAACAATGTTACTATGCAACCCAGCAGTTGTAGATAAATTCTTGGAGCAGGGACTCAGATGCTCAAGTCCACAGTGTCCACAGCAGAGCATTCACAATGGCTAAAAGGTGACAGCAACTGCTGTCCATCAACAGCTGAATGGAGCTTGGGTATGCATGATAAGCCTACTTTAGGCCATAGGACGGTGGGTTGAGGGCTCTCCCTAAGCTCTTAGGACCCATGTGATGCCACCAAATCCAAGATGGTAGACACAGAGGTAGAGGTTTGATATTTGCCTTGCAAAGTCTTGGTCTTGCTTTGACACATCTCTCCTTGCTATGACCTTATCCCCCTGTCTTAGATTGAGAATATACACCATGCTATTGTATGTTGGAAATATGTAATTTGTTTTAACAGTGGCTCACACTAAGGAAAAAAAGACAGACTTTGGATCTTGAACCGTGTTGGAGTTAGTATTCCAGGGACTTTTGCCAATGAGTAGTGGCACACACCTGTAATTTCTGTAAAGGCAGGAGAACCGCTGCACATTCAAGGCCAGCCTAGTTTACATATTAAGTCTCAGGTCAGTCAAGGCTATGTAGGGAAACCCTGTCTTGGGGGATGGGGGAAAAGTTGAGTTGGATGTGTTTTTCTTTAAGAAATGACCATGAGCCTTTGGAGGCCAGAGGCAGAATGTTACAGTTTGGAGACAAAAATGTGCACCGTGGCCTCACTTGTTTGAACACTTGGTCCCCAGCTGGTGGTGTTGACCTTAGCCACCTGCACACATGACCAGGGGTTGTACCTTCTCACACTGAGCCAAAATGACTCAAATGCTGGGTGTGTTTAGAATGTAAAGTCAGCTTATAAATGAATAACGTATAGAAGGAAAAATAAAACCTGAAGTCACAGAATTTATATAGCATTCATGAAACTTTAAACGTGTTTAGAAAAGCTAGGCGTAAAAGCATT